AGTAACAAGTGCATCGCTAAGAGTAACAAGTGCCTTACTAGTAGTAAAATCCAAACCAAGTGTTGGATAGTGTTCGGTCTTTTCAGACCTTCAGACCTTCATTTCTGACCAACGGCCACACAGACCATCAGGTGTTCAATCATCTCTCACCTCAGTTAAGCATTTGTTGATAGTTGTGGGGGCACATAGCCAAAGGTTGCAACCAAAGCAGGGATGATATTTTTTTTGCATGGGAAGAATACACATCATTCATTCCTTTAAAGTCTATATGGGCTTGGTATACGGACAAAATAATTGACGGCAATATTTTAAGCTCCATGATGCTGTTACTGCAAAAAATGTTCCAGTAAGCATCCGCTGAGGTGCAGTGGAGGGCACCTCGGCTGCCTGTTTGGGCCGGGCCTAGGGTCGTTCAACTCGGGAGCTCAATCGGAAGTAGATGGGCACGTGGTCGCAGGGTGCATTATTGAGGCATGGCAACTTCCCTAATGGCCCTAATGTAGGTTTGACATGGTTTGACTTGATTCCACACCCATTGGTGTTTTGAGAAATTTCCACAGCTCTACAGCATCAAAACCGTTTCCATTCAACAAGTCGCTCCACCATGTTTCACTTGGACAACCGGAGTCGATGACAAGCTGCTTTTTATCCGAGTCCGTATGTTTGGGGGTGACACCCTGCATCATTCTCAAGACATTGAAATTGCCCCGCGACGATGATGCAGGGGTGATGCCTTGTTGTGACATCTACTTTCTTTGGGTGATCAGATCCATGTGAGAGTGGAAGGCCAAGAACTGACACTACTTACCTCCTACACAGCTGTAAATGCTGGCAAGGCCCCAGGACCGTTGCTTTTGAGACCCTTTGCTCATTCCGAAAGCCTGAGGATGTACTATTGGAATCAGATGACCAATGAGACTACCTGGCAAAGACCCGGGGCAGCGCCAATGATGCCAATGATGGGTTATCCTCAGCCCTTCTTTTATCCTGGTGCCCAGTGACTTCGCTGGGCCGGCTCGGCTCATGGCGCTCTTGGTAGGCTGTGTCACCCGCGTGGGTGGGCAGGATGCTGTGCGCTTCACTTGAAGCTTTATGGGGTGCCTGGACTACAACTTGCCGGCATTTAGTGTGTGAGTTAAAACGTCACCTTTCGTCGACATTGGATTGAAGCTCGCAGATCAATTAGAGCCATGGAATACTGTGAAGTTGCCGAGAAATCCTTAGAGCAACCACCATAGAAGCCCAGATGTTTGAAGTCTATTTGGGCAAATAGTGTTGACGACACCTGGTGAGAACCAGGTCAATCTGGTCAAGCAGAATTTGTCCAAATTCTAGCTAATCTGTACACTAAATTGCTTGAGATGTAGGAAGCAGGATTGTATTGGAGAAAAGGCAGCTTTGACGCACTCGTCGCTCGACCTCGACATCACCTGGGCTCGACATCGCTCGAGCCAGGCCAGCAACATGCATGCTTTTTTTCGCGTCCATCCGAGATCACTCCACGTGAATAAAGGAGACTCAGGCTTGCTTTGTTGAAGTATTGCTCCGTCTAGACAGATCCAACTTTCTTAATCAGCCGCGCTTCAACGGAGCCTGCGGCCATCTCCATCTCAAGGCGGAGACAAATAGACAAGCCCAGCAACCGCAAGGCCGAGGCTAAGTGGCTAAACGGTTTGTTAGTTGGTCCCGAAAGCGGTGTAAGCTGCGTAACGGTGGGCTTCATGTTTGGACAGCTCAGAAACACTCCCAGCCTTTTGAGGAGATTGAAGATGATAGAACCAAGAGAAGCAACAATTCCAATAACCTAGACTCTAGACTCTAGACTCTAGACATTTGGGGAGCGATATGAAGTGGATTTGCAACAACACATGCAATAACACAAATAACTACATGGTCAATGAAAGCACATCAACATCTCGCTCTTTTTTGCACGTCATCGACTGGGTCTTAGCGCTGCAGGGAGGCTCAGACTGAGATCTTCCAGTAGGTCCAGCCTCGTGCTGTAGGTCACAGATCGGGGCCCACAATTGTAGATGGATGTAAATCAAACGCTATAGAACTGAAGTTAAACTTGAACAACAATGTATATATGCACTATTATATAATATACCATTATATAATATCTATATTACAAAAATTGATATGTTCCTTTAATACAATTACAAGGGCGGACTTGCATCAGCTTGCCTCTCGAACTGTGCAAGGAAAGGGAGCTCATCATGTTTTGCCAGCCCCGTCCTGCACCCCTTTTTCAAAGGCCCCTCCTTTGTCCGCCAAGTCGGTCAGGCTCTGCGGCTATTCCGCAGTTTGTAGAATTTTGCAGGTTCGCTTAAAGATTGCAAAATCATTGAATCCGGAATTCTGGTAGAAAAACTATGATCGTTTGGATTCACATCAGACGTTGTTGGGACTCGGACATTGACCTCCCGGTCCGAATCCGAGGTCACTCCGCGAGCGGAGTCGGTCTCAGGTCGCCCGCCCTGACCGCCCCGTTGAGGCGTGGTGACCCGCCCTCGTGGCACTTGTTACTACTAGCTTCTTGTTACTACTAGTAAGGCACCTGTTACTACTAGCGTGGCACTTGTTACTACTGACCGTTTCGAAGAGCGGAAAGCTACATTTCAATCTGAAACCTGAAGTAAAGAGTGATAGAAAGCTACATCATCACGTCTCATGGACAGTGTGTCCTTTTTTGGAAGAAATTCATAATACTTGCATATATATATATAATATAATATAATATAATTAATTGCATCGAAATCTGCCACAATCGCTTTACATGGTAAGGTAGTGACAGCATCTGAATGTGTTTGAAATTCAGCTGTTTGTTGCAGCCATTCTGTTGAGACACACCGGACATTCATTCCCCAACCCGTTCTCATATAGGATATAGTAGAGGCGTTGTTGTTGACATCCGTGTATGGGATGATGCGTTTGTTTTCTTCAGACTCTCCTGGTAGCCTGGGGTGGCCCTTTGACATGTTGCAAATATGAAACTGCAGATGTTGATGCGTTCCGGACATTCGACAGGTTGGGAGCCTTGGGAGCTTTGGGAGCTTTGGGAGCTGGTGCAATCACTTCGGGTTGAACGACAAGACACCTCAGTGATCACACCTTCGGGTCGGTGGGATCTTCTATATTTGTTCATCTTCCTGAAAAAAAGCATGTGCATGTCGACCCTTAGGAGAGCCGTGCATAAACCCTCAAACACATCAAAACCCGCCAACCTAGCTTCAGCAGTTTTGCTCCAAGAACTAAAACATGCCATCTTCTCGGACGTGTTCGACCCTGGATTTGCTCAGATCTGGAGAGGTTTGGCGTGCGCACTCCTGCCGCGTGGCGGGTGCGACCAGCCAGGAAGCCGAGAGACTTCGGGCAGCAAGAGTCACTGAAGGGCATGGACTGTCATCAGATGGTCACCAATAACATTTGCTTCGAGAGATTCTATAGTTATTGTATCGGCTGAAGGAAGGTAGAGCGATATGTTTCAACAGCTGGAGCCATCTGGAGCCTTGCATGTTTGAGGGATTGTCACTCCTCAGGAGTGGATCTGCCGGCAGTTTTCTTCTATGCCGCCTGGAGCCTTGGGATGGGATATGTCCAATATGTTTTGGATGAGATCCAATCCGGGAGATACGAGATATGAGGTTCGGTTTCAACTTCTTTAGCCAATTTTTCTGCAATACTAACCACCTCTCTTCTCTATTCCACCCCCTTTAATTCGCCAGTCCCTCATCCTGTGGTCCTACTGCCAAAATTGATTTTCTCATTGATGATCTATATAATTTAATGGGCCGATTCCTGCAGAATCGCCAACATCACCAAGAATCCCAAACCCACCGCCAGAAAATCATAGAACATCTATGAACATCCTATAATTACTAAATTGCAAAAAGAACCATGAAACATAAACCCTATCCAAACATATTTGTTCAAGGCTCCCCACAAACCCCTCATTCAGAAGCCCCTAAATCAATTTGGTCCATTAGAGACACTGTGATGCTTCGTTTCATCGTGACTTGGAAGTGGTTTCACTCGTTTCAGAAAGACATACAAAGACTATGACTAGTATACTATGCGTTTTACAATATGCATTTCAGGTACACCTGCAAGCCCATCTTGCCTCACTTCGCGGCCACCGCATGGAGCTCCTGGTACCACTGACTCGATGGGCCGCCGTCGTGTGTGTCCCCCTTTCGAGACAGGATGGCTGCGGATGGTTCGATTTTTAGATTTTGTTGGCCATGGATATCCATGGAATTCCATGGATACGAGGGAGAGTAGTCTGAGTGCAGTGGCTTTCCATAGGTCTTTGTCGTGTTCTTGAGCGAAACAACTGGTTCGACAGATCATTGGAGTTGATGTGACACATTCGTTTTATTCTGTACAGTATTTTTGTGTAACAACGGCCATTTTGCACCGTATGTTCACAGCAGTAGCAGCCATGTATAAAGCCGGGAATCCACAGGCCACTCCTAAGCCACTCCTAGGTTGAGGGCTTCTCATTGGATGGACGCGATCCCCTTCCTGCAGAGGTGGTGGCAAGGTGGGGAAAGTGGAAAACTACATATACGATCATATACGGGAGTTGATCTAAAGGTGCGCGCAAGGGGTTTATTATAAAAAGCGGCCTTTTCCAAGCTGTCCAAACCGTCCGCGAGAGATCCGCCATGAGGTTCGGGAAAGTATCGTTGTGTTTGTTCGCGAAAGTGTTTTCGAATGTCTTCAAGAAACACGTTTGCCACTCACTAATGCTGAAACTGACTGGTTGGCTGGCCAAAGTGAAACATGTTCCACAAACTCGGAGCACCTTTTCGATGGCCACCTCAGCCACCCCCCTTTCTTTTGTGAAGTGGTTGCGATACAAACCTTGTTTGTGTGGCTCGAAGGGCCGAGCAGAGTTTCCCTTGTGCTCACCCTTGTGCAGATCACCCTTGTGCTGGCCCTTCTAATTTAATGTTACACTGTTACACTGTTACTAAAGGCGAAGGGAGGGCCCGTTGATTTAGCACGGTGTTCGTCCCTTCCTTCGAGTTAAGTTTCACGCTCGGGATGCTTTTTTGAGTATTTCATGCTTTATCGGAATGGCAACGCTCTGACTGCCCTCTTCCTCCAGGCGCATCAATCAAGTCTCGCAACTCGTGTGCCTGCTTGAATCCCATGGGTGACTGGCATGAATAAGCGGCCAAAAAAGGATGGGCTTCCTAGTCCATCCCAGCAATCCAGGAGCCAGTCAGATCTTGAAAGTGTTATGCTCGAATTGTAGACTTCTTCCGCCCTGTTTCCTTTTCGTGCGCCGTGGAGGTATGAAGACTGTCACAGTTTCTGAAACATGCGCAACGTGGCAACGCGGCTGTTTCGTCGCTTGTGAATCTACTGTAGCTGTTTCGTCACACGTGTGTAGCACTCGGTACACACAGACACACACGTGTGTGTGTGTGTGTCAACCCCTGTGCCTAAAGGTTCCACCTCACAGTGTTTTTGAAGCGCACTTTCAGCAGGGGTACCAGGCATCTCGCTGCTAACCTGGTCTAACAAAACTAGGCAGCGAGATGGGAAGCACTGACAGACGTCTCGGTGTGTACCTGCAACCAACTTTTGCAAAAGCTGTCCAATCCGATCGGTTTGATTCATGGTGGTTGCATGTTTCCTCCCTTAAACCTTTTTCCTGCAGCTGAGCTCGTCACCGCGCTGATTGCACAGATTGATTTTGAGGTCACTTGCAAACAATGTTCAACCATACTGTTTTCGCTGACTCATGCGCCTTTCCGTTCCATCACCTTCTTTCCACGTGGGAATTGCATAACTGAAAACCAGTGTCAGAGTGTGAATCGCTCAGCCGTCCCACTTGGGTGCTGGGTGTGATCCTCCGCAAGGAGGCGCTGTTCTCATTCCGGAATTCGTGTACCATTCTTTGGATGATCTTAACCGATTCCTTTTCACTACTGGATTAACTGCTCCAATAGCCGCCGGGCGTGTACGGATAGACCCAACAGATGTGAGTGCATGATCTTATACTTTTCTGCAGCTTGCTTTGACGTTCAAGCATGTACAGAGTCATAAATTCCCAATGCATTTGACTTGAGCTCAGACTCTTTCCATTCCACCACAGTTTCACGTTTTTTGCCGAGTTCTTTGATCCCTAACTTGTTTTTCACCTTCACTTTTCCATTTTCTTGTTTTCACGGCAGCAGCTGAGGAACTAGTCAGGCTGTACGTCCTAAAGGGACACAATGCCAAAGATTGCCACCGCTTGTTGCGAAAAATCACACGTGCGCCGACGACGGCCACGTGTGTGTGTGTGTGTGTGTCAACCCCTGTGCCTAAGGGTTCCACCTCACAGTGTTTTTGAAGCTCACTTTCAGCAGGGGTACCAGGCATCTCGCTGCTAACCTGGTCTAACAAAGCTAGGCAGCCAGATGGGAAGCACTGACAGACGTCTCGGTGTGTACCTGCGACCAACTTTTGCAAAAGCTGTCCAATCCGATCGGTTTGATTCATGGTGGTTGCATGTTTCCTCCCTTAAACCTTTTTCCTGCAGCTGAGCTCGTCACCGCGTTGATTGCACAGATTGATTTTGAGGTCACTTGCAAACAATGTTCAACCATACTGTTTTCGCTGACTCATGCGCCTTTCCGTTCCATCACCTTCTTTCCACGTGGGAATTGCATAACTGAAAACCAGTGTCAGAGTGTGTGTGTGTGTGTCCGTAGTTTCGTGCTGGCACTTACTGTATGTTAAGTTTATTTAACTATTGTTAACTTGTTTTCAGGGTTTTGGTCCGAGAGGAGGTTTTTTTTCCTTCTGATTGATGTAGCACCCGAGACCAAAGAGCAAAGAACCTTGAGATTTCAAAAACGACCTACTTCAATGCGTAGCTCGTGGATTCGTGGATGGTTTTTGTGCCACGGTGCAGGATCAAAGATGACATGAAACACTATCGGGTCCTGGTGTTCAAGGGCCAGGGCCGATTGAGCGGTGAACGACAGGCGGGGATCGGGTCAGGGGGGTCAAACAACGGGTGTGTAGACCCTGGCAGGGCAGAAACCCTTCTGCCCTTCTTGTCGGAATATTCGCTGAATTGATACCCTGCTGTCAGGTGCAGATTTCCAAGCAGTTGGGAACAGCAACTTGGCTGTCATTCTGCAAAGATTAATGAGACGAGACAAACACTGAGCGAAGAAGTGCAAAACTTGGCAGTCATCTCGGAGCCTCAGAGTACTTTCGAACGAACAGTTCCGTTTTGTGAAGTGTGGAGCCTTGGATTGCCCTTCAAACGGAGCTTCACGCTGGGGAAGTTATATCCAGTAATCCGATGAAACAAAGAACATGTCGTACAACTGGCGATTCTGCTCCGTACACAGTTTTGCATATAAGACTTATAAGACTTATGCCATAAGTCTTTTGAACACCTAGAGACTACAAAAAATGCCAGCTAGCCAGTTGGCTAAACAGATACCAGGTACTAGCAGAAGCCCAATGGCAAGGAGGTTGACGCGCGCGATAGATCTTCAGTTTGGTCTGTGGGACCCCGCTCAGATCGAGAGCACTTTCTACAAACATCCCAAGAGTGGCTGCCTGAGAATGGTCTGCAAAAGCAAGCTGGGAAATCACTGGAAACTATACAACCAGTGCTTGCGATTCGTGTCCTTCAATGAATGGTGAATGATTGGTTGGGTTCTTTATGTCACATTTACGCATGTTTCACAGAGAGGAGGTGATTTTGCTATCCGTGCGAGACCACAAATCTGTTGTTTGGCAAATCGCCATGTGGTTCTTCAGGAAGGACCACAAGTGCCCATACTTTGCCAACTCAAGAACAAAAGAACATTGGAATCCACCCAGTTTTGTCAAGGTTTGCGGAGCCAAAAGGCCTCTAACGGTCAGCAACTTGCTGTGCCAATGTTTGGATGCTTTGGTTGGATTCTTGTTTGGATGCCTTGAGGCCCTCACCCAGACATTTTTCGAGTGTCCAACGATGCTCCTTGACACAGAATGTGAGGATGAGTGGCTGGAGACTTGGGTGTCGAAGCGAGGATCTCCAATGCGGTGGTGGATTGTGTTGGAATCATTGGTCTTGAATTGAAAGCACATGTTGGACAATGTTTCACACAGGTTAGCGGTTTACACTATTCTTATTTCCCCAAACAGTTTACTGTTGGGGTTCTATCTTAGAAAGAAAAGAGCTGGCCACACTCACTGGCCGCGCCCCTGAACTCTGTGGCTGGGCTCTGTGGCTGAGCTCTGTGGCTGGGCTCTGTGGCTGGGCCTTGTCCTCCTCTTGGCCGTGCCCCTGAACTCTGTCAACTCTGTGGCTGGGCTCTGTGGCTGTGTGGCTGGGCCTTGTCCTCCTTTTGTCCTCCTCTTGGCCGCGCCCCTGAACTCTGTCAACTCTGTGGCTGGGCTCTGCGGCTGGTCTCTGTGGCTGGGCCTTGTCTCCTCTTGTCCTCCTCCTCTTGGCCGCGCCCCTGAACTCTGTCAACTCTGTGGCTGGGCTCTGTGGCTGGGCCTTGTCCTCCTCTTGGCCGCGCCCCTGAACTCTGTCGACTCTGTGGCTGGGCTCCGTGGCTGGGCCTTGTCCTCCTCTTGTCCTCTTGGCGCGCCGGGCTCTGTGTCCAGGCCTTGCCCTCCTGTTGTCCTTCTCTTGGCCGCGCCCCTGAACTCTGCGGGGCTGCGTGGGCTGTGGCTGGGCTCTGTGGCTCGCAGACAGAGACAGAGACAGACAGAGACAGAGACAGACAGAGACAGAGAGAGACAGAGACAGAGACAGACAGTTTCAGAGACAGACGACAGTGACAGAGACAGACGACAGTGACAGAGACAGACAGAGACAGACAGTGACAGAGACAGAGACAGAGACAGACAGAGACAGAGACAGAGACAGAGACAGACAGACAGACAGACAGAGAGAGAGAGAGACACAGAAAGAAAGAAAGAAAGAAAGAAAAAAAGAAAAGAAAAGAAAAGACAAGAAAAGAAAAGAAAAGAAAGAAAGAAAGAACGAAAGAAAGAAAGAAAGTCAGACAGACAGACAGAGAGAGAGAGAGAGAAGGAAAGAGAGCAGAAATACGCTTCAGAAAGGCGTGCTTAGGGCGCGCTCTGCAGAGAGAAAGACAGAGAAAGAGAAACTTAAAGAAGAGAGAGAGAGAGAGAGACAGAGAGAGAGAGAGAGAAAAGGAAAGAGAGCAGGGCGAGCGCTCGTGTGCTATGGACGGCGTGCTCGCGCGCGCTCTGAAATACGCTCCAGAAAGGCGCGCTCACAGAGAGAGAGAGAGAGAGACAAAGAAAGAAAGAAAAGAAGGAAGGAAGAAAGAAAGAAAGAAAGCAAGCAAGGAAGGAAGGAAGAAAGAAAGGTAGAAAGAAAGACAGCAGGGCGAGCGCGTGCTTGTGTGCTATGGGCGGGCGCGCTCACGCTCCAGAATGGCGCGGTCAGAGCGCGCTGTGCAAAGAGCCAGACAGAGAAAGAAACACTTAGAGAGAGAGAGAGAGCAGGGCGAGCGCGCGCGTGCTCGTGTGCTATGGACGGCTTACTGGGCTCTTGTCCTCCTCTTGTCCTCTGTGGCTGGGCCTTGTCCTCTTCTTGTCCTCCTCTTGTCCTTGTTTTGGCCGCGCCCCTGAACTCTGTGGCTGGGCTCTGTGGCCCGGCTCTGTGTCCGGGTCTTTTCCTCCTCTTGTCCTTGGAGAGGAGTGTGGCCGAACAAATAGCGATGTCAATGCCGACAACAATTTATTGATCAAGCAGTTTGCTCTTGGGGTGAAAGTAGGGCGTACCAAGAAATCGATTTTTGACTGATATTGGTCTAAACGAATCGTTTTGAAGCTGTTTGGGGTCTATGCTTGTATAATCTTCATTTGTCACTGCGCGACCACGACCATGCTCAGGGCTGTGTTGCCACCGACCATGGAAAGCGATATGGTCACAACATGTGACCACCAAAACCGACAATCTAACCACAAGATGTCGAGCTCATGAAGCTACACACCCCACCCAAGAAAGAGAACGATAATCATGTCAACTGACCACTTAAAGGGATGACAGGATGGTTTTAGCGACTTCTCAGTGTGGCTCAGCTGCTCAACAGGAGAGGGAAGGATGCGTGGGCGTGGGGCCCGGGGTCTCAGCGAAGTCAATCATGGTCCTACCAGATTTAAGTTTCAACAATGTTTGCTACTAGGAACAAGGGCATCGCTACTAGGAGCAAGGTCGCTACTAGGAGCAAGGACGCTACTAAGGGTTCCTGGCCGTACTACTAGGAACAAGAAGCTATTGGGGAACAAAAAGCTACTAGAAGCTCTAATGTTTAGTTTCACTAAACATCTAGGAACCAAATCACTAGTGCGAGCGCTTCTTCAAGGAAGCTTCCCCCGCCGCCCTAAGGGCGGCGGGGGGGGGGGTTCCTGGAAGAAGCGTGAGTGAGCTATCCTGCGTCCTAAGTAGTAGCTACTTGTTAGCTACTAGCTACTTGTTAGCTACTAGCTACCTAGCTACCCCCCCCCTCCCGGTCTTAAAAAATCTTAAACATGTAATATTGTGTTTTGCATTAGGAGAGAGGAGTGCTCTCAAGAAATACAGAAACAAACAGTCTCCCAGAGTGAGGTTCTTGAAATTCAAGGCATCACGCGTTTGTTTTTGACAGGCTTGCATCACTCTGCAGTGGCTTCCGGGTTCAATAGAGCTTAGAATTTCATAATGTTCAAGCATGCGGCATGGGGTTCTGGAAAACACAGCTCAGAAACCTAAATATGGAGACAAAGTTTCACTTGGAGGAAGTTGCAAGGAATCTGTGGCAGGTGCCACTGATGGTTCATCCACGTGAGGAGAACTGGATGGCATATTGATGGGACTTTTCAATGGAAGCCAGAAGCCCAGGAGCGATATGGCAGATATGGATTGTTGCTCATTCTATGCGATATGTCAACTGATCATCATGGCACTCTGCCTGGCAGACTTGTGAATGAAACAAGGTTGTGAACACCAGGATACCTTGAAACCTGTACTATGGTATTTTGGAAATGATGTTGCAGATTGTCCAACTTGCTGGAGGTCCTGGACGGCGAAATTTGCAAACCACTATAGAACCACCCATGTAGTTTTGCGCTGTTGTGAAAACTTTCGAAACTTCTAAGTGCTGTATAGGTCCCGCTGAGCCACGATTCTTTCCCAAATCAAGTGGAGAGAATTGCAGCGTGGCATCGCTACTAGGAGCGATCGGACGCTACTAGGGGCACCTCACCGCCGTCGATGTGATGTATGGCCCCGCCACGTGGTCAACGTTTGCGCATGGAAACCGAAAGAAACGCTCCCGTACGAGCTGTTGTTGCAAATGCGTCGGTGACGGACTTCCGCAAGTGAGAATGAACTGCGCAAAGGAATTCACAGCATGAAAGCCAATCATAGTCACTCCTACCAAAGGTACTTGTATATACCGATACCAAATTATCACCCGTCCCAATGTAAAATTATTTCACCGGACCCGTCACCTACTAAAATATTTTTTTTAAATTAATTATAGCTGTATATTATTTGGGGCAACCCCGTTGGTGGTGGGTGCCAGATTAATTAGGAGAGGTGGGTATGAGGTACCCTAAAATAATTAGCATCGTATGAGAAGCTGAAGGTCCACCACCTACCAAAATAATTTCAATCACGATGAAGTATGTATATTATGAAGGTAGTCCCTAGGAGGTCAAGGACCTAGTAAAATAATATAAATTAATTAAACATAATGATATTTGACGATCAAGAGACCCCTGAAATAATTTCTGGAGAAGGCTAAGCAA